TACCGCCTGGGGCAACGGTACTGCCTGGGCCCCCCTGCCCGGGGCCAACGACACGGGGCCACAGCGGGCCAAGAACGCCACCTCCATCCTCATTGCCATCGTCATCACCGCACTCTACTCTGTGGTGTGCGTGGTGGGGCTGCTGGGCAACATCCTGGTCATGTACGGCATCGTCAGGTGAGAGCGGGGTGCCAGGCCGGCACCCCATGCCAGCCTCGGTGCCGGGGAGGGCGTGAAGAGGGGGGAGCAAAGGTGTGTCTGGGGGTGAGCGTGCACTGGGGTGAGTGTGCATCACATATGAGACAGCAGACAGAGCCAGTGTGCAATGGGGATGAGTGTGCACCATGTGCAAGATGAGAGATGGCAGCAGAAGCGAGTGTGTCCCAGGAACTGGCTGTGCACCAGGTGTGAGACAGCAGCAGGAGCAAGGGTGGGTGTGCATGGAGTGCTTGTGAGCAGGGGTTAGCACAGGTGGCATCGAGATGGGTGCATCTGGTGGGTGTGATGTGTGTGTGTGAACAGCATGTGTGCGAGCACAAACGTGTGTGGAGGATGTCCCGATGCTGTGCAAGAGGAAGAAGCAAAGACTGCGTGTGCATGGAGCAGGACGGAGAGTGCATGGGAGCTAGTGTTTGGGGGGAGCGGGGGCTAGGGGACACACCCTGGCCCCAGCAGCCGTGTTCGTGGCTCCTCTGTGGGGAGCTGGGGGAAGAGGAGCTGCAGGGCAGGTCATGCTGTGGCTTGGGAGAGGTGAGAGGCTGGTGGGGTATTTATTTCCAACACACAAATGCCACTGCTAAGAGCTGCCCTGTTCGCAGGGAGGCTCCCGAGTCCCCTGAGCACCCACCCCACAGCCAGGGGAGAGGGGCTGGTGGGCTCCCATTGGTACCTACCCACTCCATCACTGAGACTGAGATGCTCAAAGCGTGAATTACCCACCCCAGCCCATTCCTGGCTCTGCTGCGAGCTGGTATTCATGCTGTCACCACCTCCTGCAGCCAGCTGACTCTTGCTTTTCTCTAACAAAGAGCAGGAGCCTGCATTGCCCAGCCCCAGCTTGCACCACAGCCAAGCTGGCCCCTGGCCCCCTCCAGCAGCAGAGAGACCCACTCATGTCCCAGGTGACCCTGAACCCCACTTTGGCTCCGTCAAGCATTGCAGTGGGAAAGCAGGCACCAGAGCCGCTCCTTGTCTGGCAGAGGCACCTCTGCCAAGGCTTTCCCTGGGCAGGGAGAGGGTCTGCTGGGTCTCTGCACCCCAGGACAAGCAACAGGACCCCAATGCCCCCCTTTTGGCAGATGAGGCACAGTGAGACACTGCTGTACCCAGCCCAGCACTTCTGCTGAGGTGCAAAATTTCCTGCCCATACTAACTGCCTCTTTGTCCAAGATGCTGGTTGATCCTCTGTGGGTAAGACGAGTTAACATTGCCGAGGCTGCAGTTAATATAGGACAATAAAGCCAAGTCTTGCAGACCACAGGACCACCACCAGCAGTGGGGGCTGGCAGAGCCCTCCATGGTCCCCAGACCCCACTGACCGTGGAGGACGGGGCCGGGCAGCAGCGGAGGCAGGAGCCGTGCTCACCATCACACTGTGGTTGGTGATGGCACAGAGACTTCACCATCTCCAGCCTGGCAGGAGAGATCAGAGGTCTCATTGCGTCCCTGCACTTCAATTCACCCCTTCCCATGTCAGAGGGGGCTTGTCCTGGGGGGGTGGTGGGGGTGTCCCCAAGATTCATGGGGTTAATCCCAAGTCCCATCACCCCAGGGGTTGCTGTAACCCTAGCTGGAGCCAAAACCCGGGGGGCCAAATCAGAGCTTGAGACTGGATTTAGGCAGACCCCCAGAATCCTCATTTTTAACCATTTCCATTCCCCACCTCCCAGCACTTTCAGTCCATAGCAATTGTTACAGGAGGTCAGCACAGCCTGGCACTGCCTGTATATGAAATAAATGCGGTGACTCACTGGGGGAAGGAAACGAGCCTGAAACGTGCCCATGAGCCATGCCGGGCTGCCCATCACCCTTGCGCCTGGCTCCCCACTCTTGGGGTAGTGCTGCTGTGTATTTTTAACCACCTGAGAGGGTGGGCAGATGGGTAGTGGGAGGGGGTTTTCACTCGCTGACCCTAGCCAACACTGGATGGGATTTTTTCATTGACTTGAAGCAGCTTTAAAAAATCAGCCCTAGACTGAAAAAGCAAATTAAGGTAATTGTTGCAGAGACATACACCATGTATGGTGTCATGGTGAAGGATGAGTGTTATTAGACCCCCTCCAGCTGGTTCTGCTCTTGGAGAAGAGGGAAGGCATTTTAAAGAGAAGGCTTTAATGTGCAAAAAACATCCTCCCTGTTTAACTCACTAAGTAACCTAATGTTACCCATGCTTTAGAAAGCCTGACTCCATGGCATCCACAGATCCCATCACCATGGTTTCTAGACCCACCCCACCCCCCCACCCCCCATTTTCCAACCCACCAGCTGATGCTAGAATTAAACATATCTCCCAAGGAATGAATAAATGCCATCCTCCGAGCCCCTGGGACAGGAGGGGCTGCAGACATGCACAAAGCATAGCTTGTGCCTTTGCCCCTTATGTGGCCGAGCCCACCTGGAGTTTCACAGGGGTTCATTGGCAGAGTTGCTCCACGTCGGCAGGGTTTAAGCTGGACGAGTTAGGCTCCACTGGGGGAAACCTGTGCCCATGTGGGATAGGGCTGTGAAATGGGATCAGCTTGGGTTCAGACCTCACTGATGGGGAGGTGCTGGGCATTTGCCTTGTGGCCCTGGGGACATCTCCTGGTGTCACCTCCCACTGGGCCTGCACGGAGTGCCTGGGTGCCTGGGCAGCCTGCAAGCATGGCTGGAGCGCATCCTGGCGACCTCGGGGTCCCTGGGGACACAGCGCTGAGGATGCCACACAGCCCGTGCGTGCCAGGGAGCAGGTACACGCAGGACCCCGCTCCACGGCCCCCAGCTGAGCTCCCCCAATGGGGACCTGGCACCCCAAAGAGCTGAGCATAGCCAAAACCCAAAACACTCCTTGCCCAGATCAGCCAAAACTCAGCCGTGCACCCAGAGGGAGCTCAGCCTCCCCAGCACCCTCCGGCAGCAGCGTGGCCAACAGCCCTGATGGCGACGGGCACTGCAATTACCACTGCATTGTCAGGTGCTTTTAAAAATACCCCTGGAAGCAATTTGCAGCTGCGAGCTCAGGCTTGCGAGTGCCCACAGTCCTGCAGAGCCCATCAACCCCCCGCCAGCTTCCACACAGGCTGCAGGGGCATCCCTTTGCTGGGCGCAGGGTTTGTTAAGCCAGGCTCTTTAAGGTGGTGGCTTTTAGCAGCTCAAGGATTTTTGCAAGTGGTTTCTTTCACTTACTTATTTTCCAAGAGGTTTGGAGAACTAAGAGGTCCTTGGAGTCCAGATGCTGGCATCGCTGCTGGAATGTGGAGCTGCCCTGTGCTCACTCCATCCTCCAGCCTCATCTCTCCATCGACACCGTCCAGATTGTTTCGTTCAAGTGCGTAACTTCCCAATCAAGGCACTCACTTAATTGTGATGGGTTTGGCAGCCTGGGGAGCTCCATCAGCAGAAGGGGCCGGTTTGCTCTGCTGCAGGGGATAAACATCTTTCCTAGAGCAGTGGCTTCGTTCGCAACTCGGGGGGGGGGGGGGGGGGACCCCACGCGAGCCCCCCCCCCCCCCCCCCCATGTACCCCCCCAACCGAAAGCCACAGCTACGGCCACCCCATGCCCCCCCCCCAGCCCCACCACCCCAGCACATCTGGCAGGGGGTTGGGGAAGTGCTTACCCAGCACAGCCGAGCATGCCTGGCAGAGCACAGCGTGAATACCGATTTTTTCCACTTTACTCAAAAAGCAGAGATCAAAGCGTGAATCTACCTGAAATGATTATTTTTTAATCTAAGTGAGCCAAAACCTGACAATAACACAAATTCTCAGGTTTTTGTTTAACCTGGAATGAAACTTTTCTAAGAAGAGATGCATTCGCAAAAGAGGTTGGAAAATAACACTAACGAGAACTGAAAAGGCCTTTTCAAGGAAAAGACATTTTTTTAATGTCATATTTAAAATAAAAAAAAGTTCAACTCAAATGTTTCCACCCTTGGGCAAGGGGCTGCCATTTGCAGCCAAGGCAAACAAGAAAGGAACGCTGCTGGGGCTGGGAGCTGGTCTGAGCTGCTATTTTCTCCCAGAGAGAAATGGTTTTTGCAGCCTCCATCTCCTGGCTCTACTGACAGCATAACCTGGTGGGTCTCTGCCCCACCAGCATGCTCTCCTGACCCTGCTGAGATGCAGAAAAGGATAAAGTGAAGGGAATTGACATTACTGTCAAGCTCAGGAACCTCTTTCCTACACCAACCCACTCTCCTGGTCTTCAGCTGGGGCAGCAGAGCAACAACCATCTGAGATGGGAGTTAATCTCCTCACCCCAATTTATTCCACGTACCCCATCACACAATGGGGTTATTCCATGAGCTGTGCCAGTATCTTTTCATCTGGCAACCAAGGGGTTGTCTCCCCCCATGCATCAAGGATGAATTCAGCCCCGCTCTGTCTAGGACTGAACCCCACCCCGGGGATGCTACAGGCAGGTTTAGCCATGCACAAAGATGCTTGTGTTCAAACTGACACTTTTGTTAATTAACTAGGGTGCATCTAAATGAGCTCAGGGCTGCGGAGGATGCTCTGAGCAACAGGGACTTGCTGGAAGGAGTGCATGGGGAGGGTTTGAGCCACTGGCATAGCCCTGACCTCAGCCTAGCAAACAACCCAGGGGTGGCTGCAGAACCCCCACCCTGACCCAACCCTAATGCGTTGCCCTTTGGGGACCCTCGGCAGCAGGGATGAGCATCCATTTCAAACCAACCACACCATTCAAAGCATCACCTTGAGCAACACCTGCAGGGCTGGATACTCCAAGAACATGCACCCATCCCCACCGGCCATGGTGCTTACCAGCCCTGGCACCCACCAAAACAATGCTTCATGCCTTCAGGAAGGGTTTTGGCACTCGGGACTGGGCATTTCTCTTACCGTGATATGACAAGGACCAGAGCTGGCATGCCAACCACAGGTGGCTGCTGCCCTTGCCGAATGCCCTGGGGAAAGAGGCACAGTGCCCCGGAGCCACATGCCATGGCCAAGGCAGCCAGGCTTCCCCAAAGGCTCTGGAGCTCCAGCCTGCTTAATTGGGCTGCTTCCAGATGGCCTGTTTCCGGGGGTAATCGATCCAATTTCTGCAAGTAAACTCGACAGGGAAGCAAGCTAGATAATCACGATTTACTGGGTGGAAAATCAGATAAAGGAGGTTTTGAGAGGTAAAGGACATTGTGCAACTGATTCAGGGAAATGGAGTAAATCAATTTAATTGGAGAAGTGACATCTCTGAAATTTTCTTCAGATTTCCTTTGAATAAAGGCAGCCATGTGAATGAGTGTCACCTCCCTGGTCAGGTAAGGAATAACTGCTTTGGCAGGGTCTAAGCCATGTTCTGCAGGTGCTGGATAAGGTCCCACATGTGAGTGCAACCCTGTGCTCAGGCACCAGGACCTCAACACACACTAAAACCATGCATGAACACAAGTCCTTTCTCAACATGCTCCCTGGTCCATCTGTAAAGGTGCTGAGCACATCGGTGCTGCAGAAGGGCACGTCACAAGCACGTACCTTTGCCCACCGAGGGTGATGGCACCTTGTGAACAGGTAGGGAAAGCCC